AAAAAAAAAAAAAGGACTGAATATCATTAGATGTCCTTTTAAGCAAGCCCTATTAGATACTAAAGATATAAGCACAATGAAGCCATCAAGGCAAAGCAACGAGCCTATGAAAAAGGCTATTGGATTTTGTTGAGTCTATTGGGAGCTCACCATTCCTTGTTTCCAGTTCTAACTCTGCCATAAATGGCACATTCAAACTGGGCTTAGGCAGATTGAAAAATAGCAAAAAAAAAAAAAAAAAAAAACAAAACAAAACAAAAAAAAAAAAAAAAAAAAGGTTGTTTCCCAAAACCATGCCAGGTTTTCTGTGGTCACCATGCACTGACAGTATACACAAGCCTTACTTCCACCACTTGCTCCCTCAAGTCCACACCAGTTACTTTGTACTCCCTTCCTCTACACTGCCCATCTTCACTACAATATGGACATTGCTTGCATCAGAGCCAAGAAGCTTGTGGTTGTGTCAAAACAGGCCCTTTAGGGCCAACAATTTCTCCTGAATTCCATGTAGTTCCATCTGCAGGAAGTGTAAAACCTACTAATAAATATATTTATGCAGTAACTAGGGTAATACTGTAATTAGAGCATTTTCACACATACTGGTGCATATTTCACTGTAAAGAACAGACATCTTCTTTTATTAATGGATTTAAAGAACTGAAGAATACAAGATCCTTTGGATTTGCCATTCTTATATTAAAGCATAAGTAAATTCCACACAGATTTTTATGAATTTTAGATCAGGGATCTGATAAAATTTAGCAGAAGATTTCACATGCATATATCCTCCAAGAATTCCCTGCATAAAAAAAGGGATCTTATGATCCACCTATTGTGTGTTAAGCAACTCATCGATATTGCCACATTGCAGAGAAAAACAAGCTTTGTTAAGGTGAAATGTACAACCAGACAATGCTTTCATTTTATTTAAAAAAAGAAAAAAATAAATGGAGCAATGCAATTACAGTTTGGGGGGTTTTATTTGTTTTCTTTCCATTTTTAACAAATCCTAGAAAGTTTACCAACACTCATAGGTTAGACCAGGCTAAGGCACACATGTCAACACTTGTGAAGTTTTCTAAATAGACATCTCTATTTAGAAATGAAAAAGAACATGGTTTTAACAGGTGACTACAAAATTTCAACATTTGTTTTGATGCCTAGAGCTTAGGTTGGCATGAATATAAATCCCGTAATCTATAAATAAAGCCATGGAGAATTAAGGCATCTGTTATTACCAGAAATTGTATTGTTTCATGTCAGCATATTCACATTCTGCTCCAAGTTGCAACAAGAAAAACTTCAGCCACTGGTTTGCATGTGAAACACGGTGTTAACCCTGCTGTACAGAACACAGAGCAGATCCACGGGTGGCCTTTGCTTCACTAGAGGTTGTGACACCCTCCCAAGGTCATTTTTTTCAAAAGAACTTTCCTCTTGACCCTATCCTGCAGTCTGGTCTGAACCCTTAACTCACCTTGCCCTTCACAGCCAGCAATATTCGTGGTGCTCACTCCTCCCTCTCCCAGCCATGCTTTCTGCTGACCACCCTTGTTTGTCTACCTTGGCATTCCCATCTGCTCCCCTTGCATTCTAATCCTGAATTCCCAGCAGTGGGCTGCTGCTCCTTATGATCACCAACCTGGCCATCACACCTCCACTTCTGTCTCAACTTCAGGCTTGAGCTTTGCAGAAGCCCCTGGGGCCAACCCTTCCAAACCTTCTGCCCTCAGAAAGCAATGTGCAATTTTAGGTTGTGAATACAATGAGCACTGAGACAGGCACTTTCAGAGGACACATCCCAATTTCTTTCATTACCGACTGCTCTCCCAATATATTCTGGAGAGAAGCCACTGGTCCTCGCACACAGAAGCATCACTTCTCCAAGGAGACAGACACCTAAACCCTCAAGGACATACCCAAGTATTCCTTACGCGAGTTAGTGTTTGAGAGGAGGCACTCCCAGCACTAAAGACTGGGCAAAACTAGCCTCCTGGAGAATATAGTTTATTTACAGTACAAACATTTCTAAACTGCCAAAGGAATTAATCCTGATGAGCAAGGACAACTTCAGCTCCCTCCATTTATTTTGAGACCATGTTTGTTGAACTTTTTTCTTCGTATTTTAAGTGTTCCTCGATCAAGTTAAACATCTGTCTTGAATATCTGCTCCAGAGAATAAGCATTTTGAAGTGCTCTTATTACCCTCACAAGCTTGAAATTAATTTAAAGCCATTTGAAAAACGAAATCATCTTAGTCCAACTTGAATAAAAAAGAGCTTCTAATTTAAATTTTCCTGGAATAAAACATTCAATGTACATATAAGTAGGCTTTAGTTTTAATCTCAATATCTTTCTCAATTCTAATAATGAACAAGTGATAATAACTTCTAGTGCTTTACATTGTGTTACACAAGATACCATTACAGTAAAAAGAGACCTTAAAACTAAACCAATTTCTTTAATGCTGTAACTGAATCAGCTCTCTCCATTATTCTAACCACTCTTATTAATTGGTAGGAAAAATGTTGGGCTACTGAGCTACTGGATCTTTATAAACAATTAAACCCACACTGATATGAAACATCTGCTAAAAATCTGTTGCAAAACCACTTCTACTCTGGGCAAGTATTTGCAATCCTACATAAACATGTGGTTGCTGACAGCAGCAATCTGTATGAAAGACAAATTTTGAACGCAAACAGGCCCATACGGCTTTTTTTCCTGTTAAATATTTTACACAGAGGGAAGGAGAACAACCCTGTAGCAAATATTTCTGCAAAGAATTAAGCTCAGGCAAAATCCAACAAGCTTAGAAAGGAATAGCTGTATGACAGATGTTCTGTGAGAAGCCAAAGGCTCGGGGCAAAACGGATTTCTTTTGCAGCATACCTGTACCTTGTATTTTTTTCAAGTATCCTTCTCTTGTCTCCCCCCTTCTTGCAATACAACACACAAAGATCATTTTGTTTTCCTTAAAATCTGTTTAGTACCTCTTGCTATTTTGACCTAAAATATTTCACACAGTGAATAATAAATGTTATTGTTTAACACATATTGAATAAGTTCCTGCATACATCAGAGCACATACTGATGAAAAAACACACCAATTCCTCTGTAACCGGGCCTATGCACAGTTACTGCTTTAAAATCCAAAGCACTAATAAATTAAAATCAAGACAATCTGCCATAATGCACTTCAAATTTTTTACCAGGACATTGTTCTTACCGGGTCCGATGTCTTGCAGTTAACTGAAACTGCATGAAATGTAAAGGCAGCAAACAAACCATGGGAAACATTTGAAACTAACATCCCAGTGACAGTAGATAAGGTACTTACCAAGAGATGTCATTTTCCCTTCTGTGGTAGATTGTGGTTTAGCCTTCTGATGCTTGCATTAATAAAAACACAGCAGCTTGCTCCACTAAAAAATGGCTGCACTGCTTAGCTAGCAAAACCATGCTACAGACTAAGCTGGCTGCAGTACATTCAAGACCAAAAAAACCCCTCAAAATAGCCCCGACAGTTTCTTGCATGAAACTGAGAATATCCATGCTGGCTCCTTCAATCATGGAGCTACCCTGGAAGCTGCTGCTGCTGCTATACAAGTGTCTGCAGTAAAGGTTGTGCCACGTTCTTCCCTCCTGCATGGGTTTTCAGCTACAAGAGCTCAGAACAGGCTAGCAAACACCTCCTTCCCAAGTGAAAGCTCTAATTTCTTCTTCTGCAGTGAAATCAACCAACTTTCTATGCTACAGAGTGACTGACAGTAATGTCAGCCAATCAGCTTGAGTTTTCCAGAAAAATCACCCCTTAATTCATTCAAAATCAGGTCATATGACACTATTTGAAATGCTATTGGCTTAGGAGGAACATAGCATTTTAGCCTAATCAGGATAAGGCCACCCATCTAAGCCTCTCTAGGCTAAAGCCACCTTGACTCTAGGCAGGCTGGGGATAGGAAAAGAAGAATGCAAACCTACCAGAGCCTCCCAGCTGTTAAAGGGCCGGAGTGCTATTATCTTCTGAGCCTTTTTCTGAGAACACTGGGGAATCAGAGTCAGTTCACTCGGGGAAGCATCCTGCAGGAAGCTGAGGATTTTCACTTTGTAGCCATCCTCCATCACTTCGTCACTGCTGCTGTAGTCCTCATCAAGGGAGCTGTCACCGTCTTCGGAAGCTGACTCATCCTCAGAGTCTTCTGCTTCTCTTTTAGTGCTCCAAATGCTCCTTTTGCCTTTGTCCTTTTTCTGAAAGCCGTTCTGCTCTTCCTCAGAAGATTTCTGCTTTGTCTTCTCTTTGCTTTCATCACTGCTGCTCTTGGTGGAGGCTTCAGTCCAGTCAGAAGCTTCACTTTTGGGAGGAAATTCCATGCCTATGTATGCAGCATAAAAGCCAAGAAGTCAACACACACTGGTTAAGGGAGAATGAAAACCCACACTGTTCTTCCAAAATAAAACCTATATATCCATAAAACACAATTCTAGCATTTAATACACAAGAACTCTGCAGCAGGTGTTACCAAAAGAAAAGAAAAGCAAACATCATGCAAGCTTGTAAATAGTTTCAACTGATATGCAATGCTGATTTGTATAATGTTCAAACAGCAGAAGGTTTTAAGTAACTATCTTAAAATACAGATGATCAATGCTATACTGTGAGCTGCAGAAGCTCTGAGGTAAAGGCAAATGGTTAAGAACTCTGATATATCACTAGGACTATATACTGGTGTCATTACACCCAACTGTAGAGATCTTAATTTGCAAAAACAAGCCTTCTTTCACCACAAAATTTATATATTTTTTCCATTTTAATGCATTATGCTACAGCATTAGAGGTGGGACAAACACACACATGTCAAAGAACCTGGAAGAATAAGGTATTTCCAACTGAAATAATTCTATCCCTTAAAATAAGACAGAAGTCATTTAACAGAATACAAGCAATTTATTTTCAGAAGTGGCTTGTATAAATTTTTCTTCCTTCTTTGGAAGAAAGCATTGCAAGTTTTCTCTTCTGCCCAATCCTAGCTTGTTTCTGACCGACTCCAACCCTGATGTCTACCTCCTCAGAAGCAGCAGTAAGGACACAATTTCATGGATACTGATAGCTCTCTCCACTTGTAAAGAATCCAGTTAAGAACATTAACCTCTCCCAAGAATACCTGAATAGCTGATGCATCAAAACATACACATATCTGACAGCTGTGTAACACTGAAAAGTTATCAACTCATTAAACAGTATTGAAGTTATAACTTGCAGATTTACTTGGGATCACAGTTTTTACTCCCTGCCACATTTTAAGTACTGGCATTTACAAACAGGTTGCATAATTTAAGGTCTATTTCCAGTATTTTTCTCTCTTACAATGTATTTTAAAAGGATAAAATAGCATATGTCACATGTCACCTATGCAGTTACTTGCAATTACTGATTTAGAAAAAATCCACTTATTTTTAAACATGCAGGAGGGAAGCAGGTTTCAGCTTTGACAAATTTCAAAATATATTCTAAGGTATACCCACAGGTAATTACAACTTTTTATGTAAATCTGTATCAGCAAGGCAAAGACATTTATCTCTACTTACAGAGCAAAAGATAAAAACACAGAAAAAGTGTCATCCTTTTATCCTCTCCATAACACCAATTTCAAGTATCAGCGCAAGTTTCTAGGCATAGTGCTGTCAGGACTGTCCTTGCTGTACATTAGAAAATATTTGTATCACAAGTCTGTTTGCTTTGTCTTGGGATAAAATGGATTATAAATCTGTCTTTACCCTCATCATCTTCTGCAAATACTCTCAGGGCCTCCAGTGCTTCATGAAACACCCAGTTATGCTCCTGAAGTACATCTCTCAGTTCCTAGTGAAAAATAAGACATTTTGTATACTGGTAAGATAAACACAAGCTAAGTTTCTAAGGCAAAGAAAACCTCTGTAAATCAGATGATTCAAAGCAAAGGAAATCAAGCCGATAAAACCCTTCAGTTTCTCCTTACACACTCCGTTTAGGCAGAGCTGCACTCCATTTGTTAAAAGCTTTGCTTCCAACAATTAAAAACACAGTATTGAAAAGCCCTGACCAGTTTCTGAATACTGTCAGGTACTAAGGTAATACAAAAAATGTAACATATCTAGTGGCCTGGGGGAGAAAAGTGCGTGAGAGAGGGAGGGACAATTTCCTCATGCATTTTTATAATAGGTCATTGAATATGACTATGTTAGGCTTGTCGTAAGGCCAGAATAGTAGGATGAGAAGTTCCATATGGTCCTAACCACATCCAGCTGCACTCAGCTCAGGACACGTTACATTCTAAAAGCAGCAACAGCAAAGGCCTTCCAACCCTGGTCTCTTTCCAGTAAGAACTGTTACATTTGGAACATCAAAGGCAGCAATTTTCTTAAGAAGCCAAAACCTGACATGCCGTCAGGAGACAGGAGCTCACCTCCTTATCCAATGAAGGGAATGTATTTTGCAGCTTCTTCACAAGCATCTCTTGCCTTTCCCATTGTCTTTCAGGTTCTGAGTCATCCAGCTATGGTAAAAACAGAAATCTATTAGGTTTAATATAAATGACAAGTATAGAAACAGAGGAAAAGCTAATCAATATTGTTTATCCTTAAAGAGCTACTCTAAATGACAAAAGCAGCTAAGACAAATTTAAGTTGTAGAAGTGATTTCTCATATATAGTTAATGATCAAAATAAGACCAAAACTTCCATAAGCATAGAAAATGTCTTCAATCATGAAAAACTGGCATTCTTTACTTGATAAGCATACACAGTGCAAAGTCACGAAACAAAATATAAATAATTTAGAACTATCTAGTTTGTATTTCTTTAAAATCAAAAGTTTATAGTAATTCCAGATGATATTTAAGGCAGAAGATGGTAAGGTTAACAGTCAGACTACATGACCAAGTGCACAGTATTTAACTCGCCAAAGCCTACGAACGTGTCCAATGATGCAGCTGCTATCAGCCTGCAGAAAGGGAGGTTTCTTACACACAAGTACCAAAACTTCCACATGTCACAAGCTGCTCTGGTTTGTGTATGTCACGAAGAGCTATACACGTTTCCTCACAGAGCTCTGAATGCAAAGTAGTTACAGATCTACTTATCTACAGCAGAGATACCAACAGGTTTGATCCATATTTACTTGGCTGAATGATGCTGTTTGCTGAAAGACCACAAACAAGATCATCCAGAAGCACTCCAAGTAACAGAGAACATGATATCTTTCTTCAGTCAGACTACAGTACATAGAACAGCTGGCAGAGTATGCTCTAGCCTTAGGAACCAGAGGGAAAGGCAAGAGTAAGGAAAAAAAAAACCCCTGCAAGTTTTCTCACTTTAGTTCTCTATTACGAGTTCTAAAAATCCATGTTCCAGATTTGTTTCTTTCAATCCTTCCCCTTCTAACTGCAAGGAAACGCTTAAGAACAGAAATCAAATTGCTGCATAAAACCAGGTCCAGTGAAGCATTGTTTGCTAGGCTGGCTGGGTAATAATTCAATAAATTCTCCTTTTATAACATAACCTGGGGGTTTGGTAAGGAGGAACAAACCCAAACCCCAGCAAACCTCTCCTTTCAAAACTCTTATCTCGCTTTCAGGAAGTAGGGGACTGAGTAGTATTAGTTTTGCTTTAATAAAAAGCTCGTGTTTTCTTTATTTTGTTCTGACTGAGGACAATATTAGCTTAAATTTTAACACAAAAATAGTCACCCTCCTCCATCCAGCCTCCAGTGCTTACTGTAGAATTCCCTGTCCCTATATAAGCAGTTTCCAAGGATGTCTACTGGGATGCCTGGGAGCTGGCTTCATGCCAGCACTGTAGGACTGTGCATAAGGTCTGCCAATGCCAACGTGAATGCACCAGGATCAGGACTTAGTTCCTATTTATTAGCAGAGGTTTATTAGCAGCATTCCTTTAAATGCAACCAATTCATTATTTTTAAAGATTTCCCTAAGTCATGGTTTCAAATATATACATCAGCAACATTATTTCTGTAACACAGAATAACAGTAGCAACAGATCATCTCTTGGAGCAAACACAAATAATGACCTGATGAGGCAAGGTGATCCATAGCCTGTAATTCCCACTGATGTTCACAAAAACTGCATGCTGCTAGTCAGCTATCAGGATACAAATCCACAAGTACTAGAGAACAAAGCAGGTAATTCCATGCAGAGTGCCAAGAATAAGTAGAAAAACCTCATTCAGATGGCAAGAATTGATTTTGACTGAATTTTCTGATAAAACACACCACTGTCATTGACCAAGTCAGATAACTCCATTTATTTTACCATGTGCAGAGAGAAACACACAGTACTTACGTAAGTAGCTTTTGACTTCTTTGCAACTTGCTCATTTCCAGTTTTGCAATTTGTGGGAGAATCCCTTACTTTCCTTTTACCAGAGGCAGCTTCAAAAATAATTGAGACAGAAAAGAAGAATTAAGTACTTTTGTTAAGTTCACCCTAATACAGTAAGATAATTCAAAGCATCACTGTAGTAGCTACTTATTACCTGCACAATATGTTTACCAGTCTCCATAATAGTTTCCTACTATAGTCCACAGATATATTGAAACTTAAAGCAAAGCAGCTGCTTGAAAGTACATGTTTATTTACCTCTTGCAGTTTGGCAATTAATCAAGAAATTACTTCTAATATATAACAACCGAAATAGCATTTTATTGTTTTGGCTTTTTAAAATAATTGCCATATGTTTTGACATATGAGTTACATAAAGATATATTTGTCTCTGTTTTTATTCAAGTTGATATTTAATCTAGGCTGAACCACATCTGTGCATTGGAAAATGTACATCACTGGCAATCTGCAAGTGCTGATGACTGATTTCTGGCTCAGATGCATATCAGATTGGTTACCAAACACTTTTCAACATTCAATCCAGATGTCTGAGAGAAAACTATGCATATTAAGTCTGTGATAACCTTATTACTTATGAATAGTCCATATGAGCCATAACTTTCTGACTATCTTTGGGTCCTGGTGATTATCAGGAGATTAGCACCTCAGCAGTAAGACCTGCCCAGCCAGGTGCATTTTCAGATTGCCACTGTGCACAGCTTATGAAGGCAAGAACATGTCAGCACAATTTCTGCACATCAGCTTTGCTCAAAGCAGCATTGCCAGAAAAAACGATTGCAAAAAATCCTAATCCAAGACCCGAAAAAGTGTTGTGGGTTAAATTTTTTTTTTTGAAGAATAACTGCCTGCAGAGCTCTGATGTCTGATACGAGCACCTCTGGCCAACCTCCCTTTCCAGTCTGCCAGAGATGACCAGTGAACAAGCACACAGAGACACAAAAAGCACACTCACTTTCCTGTCCAAAAGACTGTCTGGATGACCAAAATAGTTTCAGCTGTGAAAAATTAAGTGGCCATATCTTTGCACAAGACAACATTTTGTGTGGAAATACTTTCAAATAAATTTTCTACTATACTCATTCACTCTGACAGAGATGTGACACATTTTAAAAAACAAAGCATCAAAGCATCCCAAAGGCTGAGAAGTAAATATCACCAATTCCTTCTTAAATGAAGGATCTAGCAAGAGATGCCAGAAAACTTTTCAAAGTCTATGTGTTTATACATAGATATGCAAAAATATCATAGAATGGTTTGGGTTGAAAGGGGCCTTAAAGATCATCTAGTTTCAACTGTCATGCTGTGGACAGGGATACCTTTCACTAGACCAGGCTGCTCAAAGATCCATCCAACCTGGCCTTCAACAGTTCCAGGAATGGTGAATCCACAACTTCTCTGGGCAATCTGTTCCAGTGCCTCACCAGCCTCACAGTAAAGAATTTCTTCATAACATCTAATCTATAAACTTTTTCAGTTTAAAGACATTTCCTCTTGTCCTGTCATTATATGCCCTTGTAAAAAGTCCCTCTCCATCTTTCCTGTAGGCTCCCTTCAGGTACTGGAAGAACACAACATATACAAGAGGTACAGTTCAAAGCATCCAGAGAATGTGCCAGTGGAGGGGAGGTGACTCTCCTTCACCATTCAGACCTTGACCTTTCTGTCCAAGAACTTAATTTAAACAAAACTGCCAGGAAAAGCCATACCAGTAGCTCAAGTCTGAGAAGCATATGATTGTCTTGATATCAAAGCTAAGAGCTGTCAGGCTGCTGTTGGGTCAAGCACTAGAAGTCCTTGGAGGCCTCATGCTATTATTGCCTAAGCTCAATTAAAACTACATTCAGGACAGATAATTCTGAATGCAAACAGTAACCCTGAAAACCTCCTTGCCCTAAAAAATACATGGGCTCCATAGAAGAGTATTTCAAAGTTTTTCCTGCTCTTAGGTCTTAGGCTGAGCACTTCACATCATTGGAGGAAGGCCCTATCCAATTTTAGAGGCAATTAAACTGATCAAAGGATCTGGATAACCACGGTCTCAGGAACAGAATTATTTCAAAATCAACTGTGATTCAACAACCTGTGGTTTTTGAAACCCACCACATTAGCAAATGGCAAAAGAAATTCCAGCTTTCTGAAGATGCTGACTTTGCAAGGTATGCTTAGTTATTTCTTCTGGTGCCAAGGGAGCATACAGCTGAGGGGATGATCAAACTGTTAGATGGGAACCATCCTTGGAGTGAAGTCAGGGTACTCCAGGCCTTCCAGAGGAATCCTTGTTCTCTCCATAAATTTTATAACTACTGAGCAGTGAGAAAAGCAGCTCCAGGGACTCAAAATTTAGAGAAGCATCTCCAATTATTCCCACTGTGATTTGCTGCTACCTCGACAAAAAACACTTTATTACTGTGACTTCCCCTGTTATTACAAAAGAAAATAGTAATTTCTGACTGCTCAGCAGTGAATACCAGACATTTACATGAGGTTTCAGCTCAGAAGCACCCTCACTGATTTTCAGGGTTTAAGATGTACAGAGAACACTACCAGCCACAAATCACAAGCAGAAGGTATTATTGTAACTTCACATATTTCACTCAGACATTTTCAGTGTGTCACATCTAATCTTCATATCTGTAAAAAGTCTGCAATGTTTCCTTTTTTAGCTACATACAACTGCTGAATTCAAGCTATAAATACGAGTTTTTGTCACTTTGAAAGGACAGAAAAATTCAAGGGTCTCGGACACACTTTTTGAGCAAAGTCATGCTTCACATCCTGTATCTTGCCCCAACCTCTCACACACTCAACATTTCACAACAAGTAAAACATATCATAAATTGAGACAGATAAGCAGATGTTTTCTAATGTCTCCATCTTTAAAAAATGTGTCCAAAATGAGATGATTTATACCATCACTTTCAGCTATACTTACTCTTAACTAAGTATTTTATACAACAGCTGTGATTAGTGAGAATTTTGCTGCCAAGTAGATTTTTCTCTGGGCTCATATTGAAAAGATGTGAAACAACATTCTTAGATCAACACAAAAATGGCCAAAAGGCAGGGCTTACATACCAGAAATACTGTGTACTGCAACAAAGGTTAAGGATATTATATTAGCTTAAATTGGTTTAATATTAACCACAACCCTTGAAAAGTAATTGGCATCTTCCAGGAATAGCAGTGCTCAGAAGGAGTGTGTTTCTGAAAAATATGCCAGCTTTGTTTCCTATTGCCAACATTCAACAGTCCCATCTATAGACTCTGACCACGCACACAGATGTTGGTCTGGTTGTTAAAAAAACCAAAAAAACCCACCAAACAAAACAACACAAAAGCAACCCTTCACTAAACTTAGCCTGGATGTTCTTAAAGCTTTCCAAAAATGGTTACAAATCTTTGTATAATAATAATAAATAGGTTTTTCCCATGTATCCATGAAGATCTCTCAAGGAAACCATAGACAACTGAACTGCAAACAGATGGTGATCCGCTTTTTTATAATGACATTACTTTTCATACCAACCTTCCACTCTTCACCTACCAACTCCAATAAATTAGTCAAAAAACTGATATATGACAAAAGATTTAACTCTGCACTCAGGTGATGTCAAGAAACAAACCCAAGAACTATGATGCTTTTACATATCTACCACTTTTAACACACTCCTACACCATGTGGCGAGGATTTTGGTTTGGTTTGGTTGGTTGGTTAGCTTCTTTTGGTAACAGCACGAGATTGAATAAATTCAGGTGCAGCACAGACACCCCAAATAAGGTCTGAGGGTTCAAAAGCATCGTTTGGGTGATGTTTTGCTAAAGAACCCTGTGGAGCTGTCTAATTTTTAAGGTTAATAGTTCTTCAGAATTACAAGCAAATCTTGAAAGCCACCTGAAAATTTTGATGGGCTTTGACATAAAAAATACCTAGCTATGAATGGCTACATATTCCAGTTAAATTTTTCCACACCACCAGATTGTTCAACTACAACGTTTAGAATTAGTATTGCTAATCCATTACTATTTGCCTCAACTGCTGGGGGAAAAAAAACAGGAAAAGCAAGAACAGAAATCACCTAAGGACCCACATGTAAAGCAATCCTGAGCCTCACAGAACAAATTCTACTTTTTGTTCTACTTTTGGATTTGGGTCCACATCCTCTTTTCATCTTTCTCCTTATGTGTTGTTACAATAAACAAACAATAGCATAACTTTTAGCATAGGCTTCACCACTTTTTAAATACTTCCCAGCCAATTTAAAGGAATTAGCTACAGCTTCTGAAGTTTGAGGTTTGTTTTTGTTTGGGTTTTTTTTTCTTTTTGTTAAACATACCTTTGTCATTGAGCTTCAGACCAGCAGTTACTGCTTCATCCATTGTGCATGCTGACTCTATTAGCTGAAAGAAAAAGTTAACTGCTAAGTGGAGAAATTTAATCCCGTTGAACATAGGAAGACAATGATGGATGAGAAAGATTCAAATACACTTTACAAAAAACACCCAAATACATATGCCTAATATTCCTGTCCTACTTCAAAAATGTTGTGACTATATAACTGTGGACAAAAATTTGCATAGCCTCCATTTCCTACAAAGTTCTGCTGATACAGGAGGTATCTGCCATTCCCCTGAAAACAAATGCCATCAGCACTGCACAGAGGTCAAGCCACAAAAAACCAGTCAGACATGCCACCTATCATTTCTACCTAGTTTCTAAGCCACAATGAACTGTTATTAGTCTTTGGTTCAAATAAATTCTGTGCAGCTGAAAACTGAGAATTCATACATTCTGGACATATACAACAAATTTTATTATAATGGTCAGGAAAAAAATTCCAAACCCACTATTTGCAACCCTTTCTTTCCTCCTATAGTAAGGGAAGCCTAAACATAAAACTTGATCCACTTGGAAAGAAAACACCCAGCAAGAAGGACCAGTAAAATGCCTCTATTTCCTTAATGCCATTTCAACAACCAAGAAACTTAACAGATTAAATTAAACACACTTAGCTTTGAAAACTAAAGCTACTGAAAACCTAGTTACATATTAACACTGAAAAGTGCCCTTGCTAAAAATACGTTTTGCTGTACTGAAGGTATTTTGCTGTAATGATCTCCTATAATTTTCCTACAGATTTGTACTGTACATTGGACAATGGCCAAGAGTATCTCAGGTTCAAATGTCAGTATAATTTATTCTGATTATGCTAAATTCAAACCTATTTGTTTTGCCTCACTGAAAGTCCTAATGTCTTTGCATGTTAAATGTCATAAATACAAGAGTGCAATTCAGCTACTGGAGAAGATGGCAATGATTTCACTCATTCTGCCTTTAATCAGTTAGCTGCACTCCAACAACAGCAGTTACCAGTACTTACCAACCAAGACAGCCACAATTAAGCTTAAATGTCACAGCAGAAAGAAATAATAGAAAATTTTCTATACAGTGGAGCTTGCTGTTGAACTTGCCCAAAGTGTGTGTGTAAATATATTCATTTTTATACATACCTATATACATAGGCCCTTTTGCTATTAATAAAATAATAATTAAGGCTTGTATTGTGTTTGTGTGGTGAGGTTTGATAGTGGGGGGGGTATACAGGTGGCTTCTGTGAGAGGCAGCCAGAAGCTTCCCCCATGCCCAAGGGAGCCAATGCCAGCCACTTCCAAGAGAGACACACCACAGGCCAAGGCTGAGTTCATCAGGTACAGCGGTAGCACCTCTGAGATAACAGAGTTGAGAAGGAAGGTGTGGGGGGAACACAAGTGCAGCAGGAGAGAGGAGGGAGAATTCATAAGAGAAACAGCCCTGCAGACACCAAGCTCAACAAGAAAGGAGCAGAGGAGCTGCTACAGGCAACAGATCAGATTCCCCTGAAGTCCATGGTGCAAACCATGGTGAGACAGGCTGTGACCCTGCAGCCCATGGAGGTCTGCAGTGGAACAGATATCCACCTGGAGCCTGTGGGGGACCCACGCCAGACCAGATGGATGCCTGCTGAAGGAGGCTGTGACCCCGTGGGAAGCCCACACTGGTGGCAGGCTCCTGGAAGGACCTGTGGACCCATGGAGAGAGGGGCCCATGCTGGAGCAGGTTTACTGGCATGATGTGTGACCCCATGGAAGACACCCACCCTGGAGCAGTTTGTGCCTGAAGGACGGGCACCCACGCTGGAGCAGGGGAAGAGAGTGAGGAGTCCTTCCCCAGAGGAAGAAGGAGCAGTAGAGACAAGTGATGAACAAACTGCAGCCCCTATGCCCCATTACTCTGAAAAGCTGGTATGGGGGGCAGGAGTTAGAGAAAATCAGGAACAGTGTTAAGCCTGGGAATAAAGGAAGGGAATGGGGAAGGTGTTTTAACATTTGAGTTTATTTCTCATTACCCTGCTCTGAATTGATTGGTAATAAATAAATTTTTCACAAGTTGAGTCTGTTTCGCCCAAGACAGCAACTGGTGAGTGATCTCTCCCTGTCCTTATTTTGATCCATGAGCCTTTTGTTCTACTCTCTCCCCTGTTCAGTTGGGGAGCGAAGTAACAGAGCACCTTTGGTGGGCACCTGGCATCCAAACAGAGTCAACCCACCACAGCCAGAGGCTTAGCAATACTGCCTATAAAATAGCAATCATAATAAATCAAGGAACTGAGCATTATTACTTTTCGTAATTCTTGGTCACTTCTTTGGGGAAAAAGTTCCTTCAGCGTTTGCAGCTTTGAGTCTCTGATGTCTTCCTCCTCTACACCTTTCTTCACAGCTGGCTGCTGATCCCCACCATTTACATATGCCAACTGGGATAGTTCATCTTCAGGCTGGTCATCATCATCAGAGCTACAAAGAAAAAAATAAGTAAAATTTATTTATGCTTATATTCTGCTTATGTTCTACTCTACCAGAACTTTACGATAAACTACACCCAACAGGATTGCACAAAATGTGTTTAGATACATTCAGGAGCACTGAATCAACTTGTACCCAAAGTGATACCTCTATTTAGGACAAAATCAGGCATGTATGATTAAGGACAGTCTTCTGTTTGCACTAAACACATTTTAATTTATCCAAGGGAAGAAGAAAGGAAGAACGGACTGAGGGAAATTGCTCATATTGTGCTATAAAAGGTTACTTGCCAATTTAGCAACAACCACCTTAATACACTTCAGCAATTCAGCTACCTGAATTACATCAGACCTCAACTTTGTCTCAAACAGTCTTGCTAGTGTTTATTTGCCCAACAGATAAGAAGTAGATTAAGTCCTTTGTAAAAACTTTCCAGGTGCAGTGTCAACTCTGTCCTAGTTCTCAGCTCACAAAGAAAATTTAAAGATCCTTATGCAGCATCTTAAATACAAACATGGGAAGGGCCTTTCTGAAAAAGCAAAGTCCTAAATTTACTGGAATATTTAGCATTAGAGGTAACAGGCTGGAAAAGCAATCCCTATGTATTTGTCATGATATTCAGTTGCACAGACAAGACCGAACACAAGCACAGGTCTCCCATCCCTACAGCCCTCCACAGACACAAAAACCTCCTTTTGGTGAACAAAAATTAATTGAATTGTGTGGAGTTTGCCATTTCATAGGGATCTCAGCATCAGGAAGGCTTGCCTGCAGGCCTCTTTACACAGATACAGGTAAAAGGCCAAAAATAAACCTGGCTTTCCTCACTGTATCTTTCTTTAGCAGTTGCAACAGACAGATTGCAATACAAATCTGGAAGAAGTAGTAACTTGCCACTTACATAAAGGATGCACACAGACAACACATCACAGAATCCTTTTCACCCTGTTCAAACAGCACGCACAGCTACATGGACTTTCTGCTTGTGCCTCTTAAGAGTAAGAAAATAACAAGCAATAACCCCAAATCTTCTTCAGTCCACCAAGCCATTGAGCTGTAAGCCTTAAAAGGTGAATCTTACTTCCACTTTAAAAAAGATCTTGATGAAGATTAAGATCTTCATTTCTGATCTTTTGCCTTGATAAACAAAGTTTCTTTACAAACTGCATTTAAAAAAAGAAAATCAATCCAACTGAAAACCGTAATTCTGCAATTATCCTACCTTTTCCTATCAGGGAATAACATCTAGGTACTTGCCAGCAACACCAGAGTTGCACATGTCATAAATCTTATCCTCTTTGTCTAATCACATTCTTATCAAGCATGAAGAAACTGCTCTTTAACTGCTAAATGACTCTGCCCCACAAAGCCTTGTGTCAGAATTCTGCCTTTTTTTCCACCAGAGTCCAGACAGTGCCTCTGGTAGTGAAATTTGCAGCACACTTCCTTTTAGGAAAGGCATGCTTTTACCATAAACTTTCTGTTCTATTCCTTGTTCAGAATGAGGTAACTAAATCAGCAGAAGCCAGAGCTAAGCCTGGACAGATCCAAGCTAACTCCTGCCACACATGCACAAGTGGCTCTTCCCTCCCATCACATTCAAAAATACAAACACACCATGCAACTAATACATAAATTTACCTCAGGAACTCTTATATGACACATTGAAGCTCTATTTGCTTTCCTAGCCACTACAGTTTCAATTAAAAAAAGAAAAAAGAAAAAAGAGAAAAAGAAAACAAAGAAAAAAACTAGTAAAAACCAAGCTAAAATCAACTCCAACAGTTTAAAATTAATAAAGCAATTATTTTATGGTCAAACTTTCAATTCCACTGAAAGGATTTCAGAGGGGCAAATGCACAAATACACAAACATCACAAATCCTTCAACACCACAGAACACCTCCCTCTGAGAAAATGTCTTAGCTGGATACTTCCTTCCTGGAAATCCAGTAAAGTTTAGTTAGGGGCAGCTAAATCAGGAAGGAGTAAACAAAACCCTGACCTCTGATTTTCAATTCAGTGTTTCAGTTTAGAACATCACATCAAGCTGCACAAACATTACAGACACCTGGCTAAAAAGCATACATTATAGCTGCATCTCTCCTTGGAGCCCTGTTCTCTTTCGCAGCACTGAAGTTTCTTGGTTCTTCATCTTCATCTGAAGACACATCCAGGAACTGTACCCCTCGTCGATGCTTGAAATAAGATTGTTTCATTGTCCTCTGAGCTTCAGGAGTTTCTGGGATGGCAGGATACTCTGCACAAGCCATTTCAATAGGAGAAAAAAAATAGGAGACAGTGACTTATGACTTCCAAATATTTATTTATACTTACAGCATCAGGCAGCTGGGATTTCTTCTGTAAACACATCAGCCATTTAAACAGAACTTGTTTCCTTACGCATAGAAAATTCCTGGTAGCTGTATTCCTTAAAGTGGTAACTTACCTGGAAAAGAATCCTCAGCCCTCTCACATCAAGTGACTAATTTTTACATCACAAAGTTTAAAAGATCATGTATTTTAGGTTAAAAACTACTTGAAAATACATATCTATTTTTGGAAGAATGAATAATGAGCTAAATACTCTGAACTACTTCCAGGCTGATCAGGGCATGGACAGAAACATACCAGGGTATCTGATGGCTGATTTTTGAACTGCTTGTCTTCATAGCTTTTCAGAGAGGAAACGTCAGTGCTATACTGCAGAAAATTAGGAAAAACTTCACAGGTAAGTTGTGACTCCTATTGAGATACAATCCATTTAGTCTGTCTATTCCTCATTAGGATCCAGATGATTCCTAATAAGGAAACTCAGCATATGGAAGAATGCTTCATCTTCTATGTGAAGCATCAGGAGACACAGAATCTAAACAATCAGGACATGTCACTGTGAGTACATCTTACAAATCACTATCTTCAATGGCACTTGGAAACTGACCCCCTTGCATGCATTAGCATGTGTTAACTTTTCAATTCAGAACATGCTTGTAAAGACAATCAAAAGCATAAGCAGACAGTCTATCCATATGATTCAGAATTCATCATTAGTAACTCGTGACTAAGACCCCCCAATGTCAGCTACACCTGAAACCAACTCTATGCACATATCTTGACAGGGAAAACATGACCATACAGGGAAATTACCACAAAACCTGACATACAAAATCATTCCTGAAGCAGAGAGAGGAACTGAACACTGCAAAACTAAATCAAAAAGCCTACACTTCACTAGACTTTGCCCTGTCACCCTCTTTCAGCACAGTACCAGATGCAGTTAAGGCATGGAGGGCTCTAACTGCACATATTGCATATTTCCAGGTGGTTCTGACTGAAACTTTGATGCTCCCATATAAGCCTAGGCAAGGTAAAGCACATGGTTCAATCCACTGCCCACAGAGGCTAGAACTGTTCTGCCACCATCTTTAGAAAAGTCTAAGAAAAAAAATTAGTTGATACCTGTGAACTTCAGTGTGCTAACTCCTCTCTTTAGACCTGCACTAAACAGAACTAAATACTTGGACATAATTGCCACCTCTTGAGTGTGCTAACTTACATCAGTAATTGATGAAAACCACTCAAGGTGCTTTGTAAAAGGTATGAGCCATGAACCACACATAGCCTGATTCCTTTCAATCACTTTACCATCTTTACAGTCAGTGTTAGAAAGAATAAATAGTTGGTAAGATGAATAATTCTGTTAAATTCTGGACCCTGTAAGCATATGACTGAGGAGAGGAAGACCACTGTACAGGGCAGAGAACATGACAGCAGCAGAGAGCATTTTCCATATGAAAGTAATCTTGCAGAAAATAAATTTAAATTAACTCACTGTGGTAGCAGTGGATGGAAAAAAAATAAATGCTGGAAGTACAAGCAGTTTGCTGACACAGGAAACTAACAGGCATTGAAAGGGAAAGGCACCAACAAACTAAAAAAAAAAAAGGTACCAAATGTTACAGAGTGCACCACTGAAAAGGAAGAAAACTTTAAAATAGAGCTTAACAGTGGTGAAAGGGATGGAGGTGGGTGTAACTCAAGCTTAGTATCTATGAAGAAATGCAAATAAGCATTCAATGACAGTTCACAAAAGCAATCATTGAAGTCTTAAGACTTCAGGTTGTTACAGAAACTTCCCTGTCTGACCATCCAGGAGCCACTCTGGCAGTCATTCTTGCACCACCTGAGCTGGCATCAAAGCCCCTTCACAGTGACACCCCCATGCTCACAGAGTCAGACCAGGGTTCCTTACCAGCCTGACCCCAGGTTTCCCACAGCAGAGACTCAGGTCATTAGATGCTTAAAGTAATTCAGTCTCGATGCAATAACTAAAGCACAAAGTAATAGCTTAAGCTGGTGCCTCTGAGGAGAGACCCCAAACAAAGAACCCCTGGGATTTTGTACCCCGACAGTGTAAGGGTGATGAAGTCTAGGGGTCCTTAGTTCCTGTGTCTCCAAGTGTCCAGTCACCTTTGCTGTGCAAACGGTCAGCAGTCCATTGCCTCTTGCATGGGGCTCAGGTCCCTCCCCCAAGAGCCCAACCTGCAGCTGCACCCCAAGCTACCTGCACTGAATGGATTCCTCAACAAGGCGATTTTAGCTACAGATAGGAAAAATCCAGGAAAGGGGCAGGCGAGTCACCTACTAAACTCCTGGGAAAGTTGTGTTTCAGTGAGACGAGCACCAGTGTAAGTCCTCATAAAAGGATCTTAAATCCTCATAATACAAACACAACATCGCAGGCATCCCCTCCCATCTAGCACACCAATCCCATCGTAAAACTCATGCACCCGTAATCCAAACACTGATGGTGCCTTCCCAGCTGCTAACCCTGGAACCACAGTTTTTGGCTGGAAGTAAAGGTAGTTTCTTCTGCCTTGGTTCACTAATGCAGAAACTTGCTGAGTCAAATTACCACAGAGTGGTAACATCAGTTTTCAAAGCTGATTTGCCAGCAGACAAGAGCCCAGAATAAATTCATCTGATAATCAAATGCAGAAATTACCTACACAGCATCTAATTCCTTCATCTATGATTGAAGGCCTCAGTTTTAACTGAGCTTTCATAAAAATCTAATCCTTTAACACTTTCAAAACACAATAGAGGATTACGGTAATGATTTTTTGAAGAGGCAAAAGTCTCACTTTCTAAAGTAATCTTGTTATCTCTAAAATCCCATATACATGTCAATTTAGGAATGGCTAAAAATTATTAGTACTGAAGCAGCAATATATTGTCCCAAGACAGACCTCCCTGCATCCAAGACCAACACATTGGCAGCAGAAGCTTCCTCAGCAGTACTTTCTTCTATCTAGCAATTTTAGGAAGCAGATGAGTTGTCCTTGATGCAGTTACTTCATCTGAAAATGGTTTAAGTTTTCTGATGAATACAAGAGAAGAGCAAGAGAGACCTTTGGGAATGTATGAAGCATTTTTATGAAACAAATATGCAAGCAAATTTATTTCAGCAATTCCCCTCTAGCAAAGGAAAAACAAAACTGAAAAATTCTGAAGGTTATAAAGCTGGGTTAGTAGAGCAAGGACTGTCACAATAGGACAGAAATATGAGACGCACAAAAAGAAGTGAATGGAAATGTCAAAAGGTCTGTAAGAAACATGAGAAGTTCATATACATAGTGAATTAACAAAATTGGTCAATCACTTTTCATAATCTTTGCCTTATAGGTTAGATTAAATTCCAAGCACATTCCTCCTGCAGGAAGCATGACATGGAAATGACTGGTACTCATGACACCTTTGCTAAGAAGCATCCTCATTGGATTTTAAAACAAAACAGAAACACCAGGAAATTTTACAAAAATAATATTATTTTATTTTTTACAGCATAATTTTATTTTTTACAGTATAAACCTTGGAGAAGGTTTATATTTAAATAAAACCAGTATTTACTGTTTCACTTGGTGATCTCATTTTTACTTTATTTAGCAATCACTGTCCAGTCTTCATGACAGCTCCTAACTCCCATACCTATAAAATGCTGAGTTGCCTGGAAAAAACCCATTCTTCCTCTCAAAAGCAGCAGTATTTCCTGCTCCCTCTTCTCCATCTATTTCCCTGAACAGAATCCCTTATTAAGGAAGGGGGCGCAGAAAAGCAGTAATCACACGTGTAATAAAGAGTCCTCATATTTTGAGCAAATTATAACCTTGTGGAGCAGTAACAGATTAAAGTTATTGCCATAGCATGCAATTATTGGAGGCAGAACTATAGGCAATTAATGAGAATGATTAAGGAACATCTGCAATCATAAGACCAGTATTTGACTCTAAGGCCAGAAATAAGAACACACCAATTATCCCTACCTGCAGACATTTACATCAAAACCAAAAGCCAACAACCAATTTTTGCTATCATAAAAAGAGAATCTGTGAGAGTAACTGGATCAAATTGTCTATTGCCTCTATATGGAGACAATGTTGCGGATGAAGCTAACCCAATGCAACAATCTGAATAATGTAAAACCATTTATTTTGTTTAGTTTAGTCAGTAAATGCACACCTTCAACTGCTGAAAACTTCACCTTGAAATTGCTTTTTTTCCCCCTTTAGAATCATCCTCTCTATGATCTTTTGGGAAGGCATATATCTAGTGTGGAGCCATAACCCACTGCCCTGTAATTCTAAACATAACCTCCTGCACAAAACAGACACCCCACTGAGCAAGTCAGCTTCTCCCCCAAAAAAACCAAAACTGAGGTAATGCTTAGCGGCTCACCACGTTTACTAACACTGTACAACAAACATTGTCAAATGGAAAGTAACTTCCACTGAGTTTTGGAAAGCAATATCAAACACATACTACTCAAGTCTACGAGCTAATAAATATACCCTTTTCAAAGGAAAGCCTTTTTCATTGCCTAAAATGATCCCAAATATTGGTGTTACCCTAAGGTGCTTCTTAAAGGGGCCCTTTTAAAATGGTGATTACTTCAACATATCTTCCCATGAAGCCTCAGAAGACCTCACCGGGTACTGCAGTCATCACTTTTTCCCAGATATGCTTCAAGCAGAATCGTACTCTATGAACTGTGACATAAGCAAGAGACATGACATCCTCAGGTCATAAAGAAAATGACAACAGATGAGAACAAAAAAGTCATTCCAGTGCAAATGAACTCACAACATCATAATCTCAAAATGCAGTCATTTGGGATATATATTCAAATCGTCCAGATGGGATATAAATAATACCAACCATCACTAACAGGATTATATAGTTTAGTTTAATTTCATCTACAACTTTTATTTCAATTCACTGCTGAAGCTTTGTAAGCATGCTTTCTGAATACAAGCCTCAATTTGAAATTAATTATTATTCTAATTTCACAGAATCCCAGAACGTTCAGAGTTGGAAGGGACCCACAAGGATCATCAAGTCCAACTCTTGCTTCTGCACAGGACATCCCTGAGAATCACACCACTTGCCTGTGTCATTCTAATACAGTCCTGCTCCATTTCTACAACTGGAATAATCTCATTACCTTTATACACCAGGCTATGTATGTAATTAAAAGCATCTAACTGAAAATTAAAAAGATGCTTCACTGTTTTCTTAGCAGACTAAGAGAAACCAACCTATTCATTAATACTAATTTGTATAAAAGATTGTAGTAAGCCAGTCCAACGCATTTTTCCAATGTAGAGATATCTTTCAGCTATGGTTTGGTAACTGCCCCCTCAGCTGGTTTCCGTCCCCCAGTTAAGTGGTGTTCAGAATTACTGCCCACAACGTGGATGCAAAGTCCCTGCAAGCCTGTGTCATTTTGAATGAACACAAGTGTAAAGATGACCAGTTCTTCTGCCATCATAACACAAATTGCTTATTAAAGCGTAAGGGACACGAGATCAATACCAAGCAACGACCAGCACAACACACAGACACAGCCAGGTTACAGAACAAGCTACCAATATTAGTTTGTTCTGAGAAAACAAAACTGAAGAACATAGCTGAAAAGCTAATGATGTTTCATAATACAATAGACATCATCTATTTTTTCGAAGATGAACGAAATTAAGACAATCATATCTTCATTAGATTTCAGGGCACTTGACAAAACAAATCTGAAGAAATCCCTAGGAGGATTGAACTGAACTACTGAACTGTACCGAACTATTTGTGCTACTGAAGGAAAAAGTCTGATTTTTTAAATTCTTTTTACATTGCACAACACCAAACAAAATAGGACAAAAAAAGTCATCAGTTATTTAATAGGTTTTTTTGTTTGCATAGGTGAAATAAAGAACACTCTCATCCTGTTTCCCCAGTTTCTTGGACCAGGATTTTGTTAATCCACTGTGTTTGCCTTCAGAAGAGATATTGAGTAATTGTTGTCCTCACATGATTCATTGAGCATTAGGGCAAGTTATTTTTGGTTAACTTGATATAAACTGCTTCTTTTACAGAACAACTCAATAGTGTGACTTGTGTATTTAGCAGTAGAGATCACACAGTGCCATAAGCTCATCATCTCTGTACCTTTTCCACGACAATTAAACGAAAATAAACGCCAAAAACCAAACTGTCTGGTTTATTTGATCCAAAGCTAGAAAAAACCCATCTTCCTGTCACTATTTAGGAAACAAGGAGAGGCATCTGCTAATCAAATCTAGTCTCCTCCATTACACTTAAGCGCCTCATATCCTGCAGGCAAAATCCGAGGGTTTTATTTTTGGTTAACTTCTGTAGATGTAGAAAGCATGATTTGATTTTTTAAATGGTTGTTCATTCTTTTAAACAGGTTACATAACAATGATGTGCAAATAAATGTGGGAAAAAAAATCACTAAACCATTCCATCTTTTTTCAACACTCAGCATCTGTGAAAGATAAAGCATTGTGTAACTGCAAAGCGTTACTAATTACATCTCAGTTTTAAACATTAATTAGTACCCTGGTTCTACACCAGCATCTGTGTCCATGGACTCCTATTTCAATTGGACACTTGCTGTAACTTTGCCTGCACTTGTACTCCACTCTGTTTTCCTGTTAGTTACCATCATCTCCCACTAATTTTCCTCACAACTACCTAGCCTTCCATTACATTTCTTCTTTCAGGCTGCCCTTCACCTTTCCTTTTAGCGCCTCATATCTAAACTCATGCCTCTAATTTGGATATTACATGCCTTCTCCTCCACAGTCCTACCCCTAAAAATATAAGCCAGGTGAGACCAGGATTTTGAAAAACAATGAGCTCCAAAGTTTATTGGCAGTTCTGGTCTAGCCACATGGTTACACTGATCAACTCCACAGGCAGATTAAGGGAAGAAATATAATATCAAAATAAAATCAAAGACAAATAAACTACAACACAAGGAGCACCATCCATCACTTCACATCTACGTTTCCAGTTCAAAGGGGTCCCTGCACTCAGTCACTCCTGCATGGCACAAGACAGTGATTTATCACAAACAGGAAGCCAACACCTGTTCCAAACTGCACTTCCTTGGAGTGCCCATTTTTCCATACAGCCACCACAGAGCACACACGTGCAGAAGCCAAAACTAACAGTTGCTTGCTTCTTCTATTAGGGTCTCCCTGCCACCAAAACATTCCCGTGCTAGTGGACAGGCTGCGTAACTCCAGACTGGCAACTCTCAAGCCAAGATTCTGAGGTTTTTATACATAAAATACTGATTGATATTGACTAATGTAAACACTCCAGTCAACTGAACACAGTTCACCTGCACAAAACCAAAATTCATAGAAGAGTAAATATCCATCTACTACAATTCTACTTTGGCTCAGCTTTAAAAGAGGAACTCCTCCTTGCACATGAAAGGTTTTCTGTTATCACATAGATATGGTGCTATGATAACCTTTCTTCCACCAAGACAAAGTCATGTGCAAAACAAATGTAGTTAAACAACATCAATGGATACTGTTGTTCCATTTCTGAGTAAATACACAGTCCAAGTCTATCTGATCTCTCCAGTAACACTTGTACCTGGACAACTGTATCAGAAGTTATATGGAACATCAGAGATGCATCAAATAATCAGCAGCATATAATGTCTGTTGTTTCAATCCTCCTCCTTCAGGAGCAACAAAACTACTGCTGAATGTGATTATGCAGCTGATAAGCCAGTTCAGTCGTTTATTAGCATTAGCCAATGAATCCACACAGGAACATCACACCTCTACTGCATCAGCCAAAGAAAACCAATAAGCTACTTTATAAGCAAGTTTTCCATGTTCCCATGAAAACCACAAGCTTCTGCCTGAAACAAGGACGAACACAGACGGTTTGCAAGAATCAGCAGCAAGTTTCTCAGCCCTTTACAAAACCAGGTACAAATGAAAAGAAACTGTTCCCTTTCTTTTCAGTTTCATCTGTGATACTCCACAGATGCATTAGCCCAGGAATCTACTGAACAAGCGAAATCTACGCAGTGTTGTATGTATGAGACAGCTAACAGCTATTTTTTTCTTTGAAAACCTTGAGATGTTAGTGTAAAATAAGTAAAAGTAGAGAAAGTTACTGAACAGGATAACACAACATACTTTCAGCATTTAATCTGAAGCTGGTTAATCAACTGAAATTAAAAGTAATTTCAGAATGTTTCCAAGTCGCCTGTAAGTGCACAGATTCAGTCAGAGCACACACCGATACAAACAAGGCTACGTTTGTGGAAATTGACAGAGAAGCACATTGATAAAACAAGCAATGAGAGAAGGAAAAAAACCCCACCAAAACACAAATATTTTATTTCTAGAAACTAAATATTTACACTATTTTTATGCTACATGCAAAGCACCTGACTCACCAGCTCTCTCTGTCACATCCGAAGCTGGAGTATCTGGCCTGCTGCCATCGTCTGCAGCTTCATCCTCACCCCCTCCCGCAGCACCTCCCGCTGCGGCACTATCGGGCACCTGCACCTGCGCTGCCGAGGGGGACAGCGGCTCCTGCTCCGCGCCTTTCCTCTTCCTCTCGAAGCGGAACCGGTCCAAATTGTAAAGACTCATATTCTTAACCTGTTCCTCCTGCCCACGGGAGAGGAGAC